CATATTGATAGTTTATATACACTCCTGAAATAGGTAAGTAACCAGAAAAACTAACAGTATGAACTAAAGTAGAATCATAACAATTAATTTCTCTCAGTATTACACAAAAAAAAACCCAGACCAAAATATAACAAAGTGCTTTCAGAATTTCAGTTGAAATGCTTTTGGTTCTTTACTGAAATTGTAATACATAAATTTGAACCAGAATAGCTGGCAGAGGATGAAACAGAATCCTACATTGTGTTGTTTTAGCACTGTTAAGACAGTAACACAGCATTCCAGCTTTTAAAATGTCCTTTTGAGGCAATGGCACTGATGGGAACAGTTTGTTTCAATATAATCTGTGTTCAGTATCAAATCAAGACAGGGCAGTGGTATTTGGCACCCTTATAAAGCATCCACAGGCAGCAAGTGCTGTTTCCATTTAGAAGGTTGATATGGGGGAAGTTAAAAAAAAAAAGAGCAGTAATTACTGTAGATGCATACTAGAACCATCAACAAGGCACAGGATTATATTGTGCCCCTCCAGATGGAATACAGAATTAATGACTATGAGGCACAACCTTCTCTACTGCTGCAGCTTCTCTCCAGCAAATTATGTCACCTAAATAAGGAGACTGTCTCATTATTTCTGATTTAGCAGTAACTCAGAATCTTAAATGGAGCATATAGAGTTGAATTCAGTTTCTTGGGCAAGACATAAGCATATCATGGCTGGAACTGGAAAAAAAGTCTGGAGACTGTCTTCTTATTTAGTTCTGCTCCACTAACCAGCACTAGAGTGAACATAAGCAGGAACTTGGGTGTGTACATAAGTAAATATTTTGTCACTGTTACGTACATTTCAGATGACTGAAACTAATTGAGAGAAGTCATTCAGCACTCATCACACAACAGTTTGAGATCTTAGGAGGCTAAGCAGATCACAAACTCTAAAAAGAGAAAAATTAAGAAATGCAAACATATTTCAACATGAAAAAACAAGTACTGAAAGCAGGTGACTTCTTAATAAAGGACTTTTACAGATGCAAGTGCTCTACTAAAGCTATATTGGGGAAGTAACATATGCCAAACCACTTGTAATAGTACTTCAATAAAGGAAAACCATTACCTTTTGCTTAGGGCTCTAAGATAGGTCTTACAAGATTCAGGTTCTAGACAGGCTCTGCCAGAGGCTTGTTCTTTGAGGTTGGACAGATTTCTGCACTCTGATAGGGTTAAACTCCCATTTATCTTATAGTTAACTGAAATTTTTAAAAGAAAAACAACTACATTTAAGTTCTAGTATTAGAGGCATAAACATCACTGATCTATTAACAAGCAAAAAAAAAACCAAACCCTACACCTCACCCTTCTGTAAGTTACTGGAGTTTGCCTATGTAGAGTGTAAGTTTTGCTAAAGCTCACAGTGACACTTTGTTATCAGAACTTTCATAAAAACAAAAACTAAATAAACATACTAATTTTGTATTTTTTTTGCTAATATGGATTTAATCCATATTAGTACTTAAAACTTCACTCTTGCAACTTCTCAAAACATTCAGTGCTGCACCCAAGAGGCTCAGCATTTCCTCAAGGAAGAATAGGTGTAAAACCCCTGATCTTCTTTGCATCAGAAACCACGTGCACACAAAAACATTGCAAAGCTTAGTGTCAAGCTTACTGCATTGCACAGGATTCTAGTTTTTAGGATTTCAGCCTATGGAAATCTCAATATATAAAGAAAAAAAAAACAGAAGACTAGAGTAGGAAGCAGGAAGAGATGAACTCTAAAAGCCAGGCACAGGAAAACATTGCAACATGCAGCTGCAAAGCTCAGACTCTGGAATCCTCACAGGTCCACTGACAGCAGCAACTTCAATTTTCTTTAGGAACTTATAAAGAATAAGAGGGATGTCGTTGCAATTTATACACGGCAGTTGCAAGTTAACCTGCATCAACTGGGGAGGGTAAATGACAGTGAGACGCTTTCTTGTTCAGATACCTTCAAATGTACAGAATGTTCTCCCATTCTAGGGTTACACATCTGAGAAACTATTATCTGCAAAATTATATAATTAAATATTGAATATGTGCTTTTTTATTAAAAATTCCCTTGTCAGAATGAAGTCAAGTTTTTCTGAGTAATCATGCTCCGGAATTATTTGTTTGAGGATCTAGACCTGAACACTATTTCAATAAGAGCCATTATGATTAACTCAACAGCTTCAGATACTCGGACAAACTATTTCTTCACCTGTAAAACAGACCAGACCTCAGTATATTTTTTTACGCCATCAGATTAAACAAGAGGACCCACTTACCACACAGTGAGGCAGGAAGTTTTACTCAGCAACTACAAGGATGTCCTGAAGGCACAGCAGTATTACAGATACTGCATATGTTAGCTAAGTGGGTAAGTAACAGGTTTTCCTAAAGCTGATTTAGTTTTAGTATACAGTTTGGTCATATTAAAATTCCTATCAACAGCTATAAAGTAGACTTCCAAAACTATAATGGTAAGTACTTTATTCTTTGTATTACCCATATCCCTACAAGATCTATTCTGGAGAAGAGAAACAGTGATAACTTAAACAAGCATCCTCGTAGAGGACAGACTCGTGGTTATTAACATTCTAGAGGCTCACTAAAACAGTCGAGTTTCAGTATAGTTAAGAAATATCTTTCAAACAAAGTCTATTCTGGACAAGATAGAGCTATCTGTGTTACATAAAACTTTTCCATTAGCAGCTCTTAAGCTCTTCAGAATCTGCTGGGACAGTGGTGCCTGGATGCCTGACGTTCTTAGTGTCCGCAGCATCTTTGGGGACAGTGGTGTCGATGGTACAAACAATTCTCCCAGCAGAGAGAGATCTCTGAAGACAGTGGACCTAGTGTTACATTAATCTTCCCAGCATCTGTTCGGACTCCTACAATACCATATCCATACTAAATAATATGTCACAGCGTCTGTATTGTCCACTCCCCACAAATAGTATCCAATAACATTGTAGGCCAACAGCCCATCAAAATTAGGGTAAAAGGACAAACAGAAGATGTATGCAATTTTATTACAAATATCTGTATCTTCAAAGTCCATTTCTATACCAGAAGACTTAACTGTAATGAGCCATTTCTTCAAAAACCTTCTTTCACATTTTCTGGCCCTTAAGAAAGACTACTCATTTTTTAAATCACTTGTTTCAATATTTATTTTGTTAATATTTTAAAAATCAATACATTATTTTTCAGTCTTCATATCTTTATTTGGCATACTAATATATTATAAATAAAGAACTCTGGTGTTTAGAATTAAAAATACTTGAGATTATGTCTCTTATTCAGTTCTCCCAGATACAGGCAGGTGTGTACGGGGGTTGGGTTTTTTTAACTTGATAAGGAAATATGAAGTTTTGCACAATACTGCATCCCTTATATAATACTTCTGATGTCTACTTAAAACATTAAGTTTGGAATTAATTTGTCTTAAAATATTACAATCACAACACACTTATGATGCAGAAAAATAGATGCTTATCAACATGCCAACCAAGGCTCAATATTTAAAACTCAGGGGTAGAGTCATTCTGAATTAGTCAATCTAATTAGATTACCAACCCAAGAGTTAAAAAGAATAATACATCTTTGCTCTCTTCAAGTTCTCATTTCTCCATTGTATAAGTTCACTTCAAGGACAGCACAGAAATCAACCTCATTAGGGCCTTTATCTGCCATGCTATTGTTGTCCCCTTAGATTTTCACCTAAAGTTTTTCCCCACCAGCACTTTGATTTGTCCAAATACTCTTTGAGACTGCACATAGTACACAAGGTACACTTGAATATTTTTCTGAAGGACAGAGACAAGGATATGTTTTTCAGTAAAATGTGATAATCCATGCCTGATTTTGAAAAAACAATCTAAATGGAAAAAAAATATGGAAGTAAGCCTATTGACCTTTATAGTAAATTAAGCCCTAGATCATTTCAGTTATGGTAAGTAAAGAATAAGAGTTACTAGATTCACAAAGAAAAACATATCTAAGGCTATAAAGTCTCAAAAATCGTGCCAGGTCAAATAACAATACACCTAACCAACTACATGAAATATAATGAAAAAAGGTAAACTGGTTTGGGGCAAGCCATTTAATAAACATGACTTAAAGTGAAGCTTGCCAAAACTCCTCTAAGGCCTAGTGTCTCAGACAAAGTATCATGCACCTGCTCAGTTTACGCTAATACATCTATGGAACCATTCACTTGTGTATAATTAACAATATAATTGTGTATAAATTAACAGCTGTCAAGTGGTTTGAGGACAGACAAATGTTTGATTTTCTAAGGTCTTCAAATGAAATAAAAGTTTAGAAATGGATTAAACTGGACAACACCTAGTCTACATTGTATCCTATATTTTCTTGCTAGAAAATTATGCATTAACTATTTTCCATAAGGATTTTAAGCCAGAAACCATGCAACGTTAACAAAAATGTACTCTGCCATTAAGTCAAGAAGTTTAGTTTAGCTGCACTTCAGGAAATTTAAGACTGGCTTCAACGGAGCAGACATTCAACAAGAAAAAAAAAAAACAAACGTACAGCAAAACACCTTTATAATACCATTATGATCCTTACAATAATACTTTATCTTCCTGAGTTGAAATCACACATTTAGAAGTCCTCTCCTGTCCAACTAGGTATCTATGTGGTATGAACATATTGCCCATATCAAGAACATACAATTTTATAGCAAACTAAGTATGTTCTGTAAATTAGATATTTGCAAGAGAAATCAAAACAGCAGGTGTCCTCCCTAGTTAGAGGGGCCTCTTCAGGACTAAAAATAAGACCATTTTACTGGTAAAACAGACATAACTCTAGAAACAGAAGAGACCACAAGTATACGATTGCTATTCCCAGTCTCTATCCAGTTCACATGTAGAGGTCTTCCGTGAAAACAGCTCTCTAAGAGCGTACTTGTGGTATGCCACGCTTTTAATCCACCTGTGCCGTTCCCAACTTACCTACTCAGCTTGCACTGCTGGCAGTTCCTCCTCCAAAGGCAGATGGAAGTCTTTTCTGGAGCCTCAGGGCTCTCAGGTTTGGGCTTTGCAGTTCCTTATGGCCAGACACTCCCACCACTGAGGCAGCAGCACACAGAAGCAGCTAGAAAGTTTGCCACAATCTCTACCTTCCCCTGCAATTCGCTCCTCTCCCAGCCTCAGCCTCTTCTCCCTCCTGGCGAAAGGGACCGGCTTTAAGGGCGTCAGCGGAGGCGACACTTCTCGGAAAGGTTTCCTGCCTCAGCAGAGCCGCTGCTGGACGCGCTCCCCCCCTGGAGGGCGGCTCCGGGCCGGGGGGCGCCGGGGGCAGCGCTGGCTCGGGGCTGCTGCGGCCGCCGCCGTGTTTACCACGAACCTCATGCTCGCCGCGGTGCTCCCTGACATCATTCATTCTGTTACACGCACGCCCGCCCACTCCATTTCCAAACACTGACTCACCCCGGCGCTCCTGCCGCCGCCGCTGCTGAGGGGCAGGGCCGGGCGAACCGGCCGGACCTCTGCGGAGCCCCCGCCCGCCGACCGAGGTGCCGGCGCGGCCCCGCCCGCGCGCTCCGGCCCCCCCC